CCTTGGGTAAATACTGAAAGACGAGTGGTCAAATTGCATATTCTAATCCAATATGCCAATATGTCTTTTTCATTCCTAGAAAGTACGAGAATAACTAAACAACTGCTGCATTCAGATGGCTACATCTACAGCTCTGTGAAGAAGGACAAGGAAAAAGCCCCCCCCCCCCCCCCCCCCCCCCCCCCATTTAGCTGGCGGTGCTGCAACCTGCAATCTCTGAGACAACTACCTCGTTTTGGGTAACAAACCCCGCAACAACGAGGCAGCTTTCAAAACGAAAACAAGTATTACGTAATCGGCCGAGAGGGAGGGGAGTTTCCAAATGATTAAGCTTGTGTAATTTTGACATAATAGCTATGTGGTGGGGGGGGGGGGGCGTAAAAATTGTCCAATAAGTGATTACGTAATATATGAACGGCCCCTAAGAAGTAAAGAAAGGGAGCTGCGAAGAGAGTAGATACAGCCATCTGAAATCTGAATCCAGCAGTTGTATAGTTCTTCTTGGACGTTCTAGGAATCGGGAAAAGATAGGCATGTTGTTTGCTGTCTCACGACATTACGGTCGTGTACTAACAGCTGATAAACTCACCTACCTATCAATCCAATTCTGCCCATTATTCGTCAGTCATTGGGTGACGTGATCTGCAGATTACCGTGAGACTCCAGATCTCAGAAGGGCTAGTAGTCAGCCACCCGTGGTTTGCGTGGAATTAAGACCTACGAGTGTCTTTCTTGATGGTAGAACAACATGATACTGATAATTAATGTCGTGGTTCAACTTCCGAGTGGGTCGTTATTGACCCAGTTGATCGATTTTAAAATTTAAATCAACGTACAGGAGTAATGACCAAGATATAACATGTTTTTATACTAATATTTGTAAAAGTTTGACAACATTATATTTAATTAATCAATTTTGTGGTCTTAGTGGGTCGCTAATGACCCATTTAACCGATTTTTCGCAGTTTATGATGATTATCACTTGCTGAGAGGCGATTTTGAACTTATGATGTCATGCTTTAGGCTGAATTCAAGAAGTTACATGGACATATGTAGTAATAAGCAAGTGAGCCGAGTGGGGTCGTTAATGACCCAAATTCTTTATTTTTAAAAAGTTAGAGTCACACAGTATTGCCCATATGTTTTTAACTTATGCTTTTTATTTTATTTTATCCTAACGTCTTTGTTTCAGAAGTTAAAGCCGAAAAACCGTGATGGGTCGTTTGCGACCAGGACGAGTGGGTCGTATGCGACCATAGCTGTATCTTTTAAAGTAAACGAGATACAGATTAGCTTTTTTGGATATCTCATTTTTGCTGTAAAGTGACCTAGTGTGTTAAACGGCATCAAAATCGGCAAACTTTAAAACTCGTCGTCCCTAATGGGTTAAGTACCGTAGATTGGGGTAAAATCGCCGTGTCGGGGAACTTCGCCACTATTTTTCAAATAATCATTTTACTGTTTTGAATTGTTAGGAGATCGAGTTTTTGTATTGTATTGTGTTGAACAAATGGTTATAAAGGTATTCCTATTAAAGAATAAACGTTTACCATGTTAATTAAACTCAGGCAACATGAAATATTGCTATAAAGTGGCTAAAATTTCCTGCTTGCATATTTCCCATATTTTACAATTATATCCTTAATTAATTCTGTGTGACATCATTAGCATATGTCCTGTTCATTTAAGGGCAAATTTAGTTAGCCATGATGCACACAACTGATATTATAAAGTTTTCAAATTTGTGTGTGGCGAAGTTACCCTCTTCTGATCCCATCTGTTCGGCGAAGTTTGGCGCGAAATTCGCGCGCGGCTGGCAAAGTCACGCACGTGTATTGGCGAAGTTCGACTACATTTCTACTTCATCCCGGCGATGTTACCCGCGCAGCATGGCGATGTTACCCCGGCGACCAAATTGCCCATTGTAACACGCAGGCTAGAGCTAGATAAGTAAAATTGGCAGGTATATCAAGGAAATATAATTGAGTTTCGAGTGGTATGGTGCTTAGCACCGAATATGGTATAGTTTCAGAATGGCGAAGTTACCCCATATTGCAGGGTAACTTCGCCCTGATTTCAGTGGCACCAATCTAGCTGACTATTTATGCCTGGCTGATGTGGTTCATACGAAAACATTTGCTTTACCAATCCTGTTCATATGAGCTATAAACTTTTTCAAGTACTCGTGTCGTATTTTCTAAATAACATGAAATAGCTGTAAAACATGGCGAAGTTCCCCCATTCTACGGTAACTAATAAAGCTATAAGCTATAGGAGTATCACTTGAATCATTTTAGCAAATCTCTCTAAATATAACTTTTGACAAAACAAACAGGATCGTAACAGGAGTAATGAAGTTACCAAAAAAATACGAGGTGATCGTATAACTATAAATTAATGAAAGAACGAGGGGATAAAGGTCATAAGCTTACACACCGTCGTCACCGTGAGCTGAATAGTACAACAGCAAAGGAATTCGAGATTCATACTGGGATGAGAAATTAAATTGGGCTGCTTGTTCAACGATATAAGTTAAACTAATAAACTAACAAGGAACTAAAAGTCGTGACTGTCATGACGCTCCAAGATGACGTCACTCAGGAAGTAAATTGGAATTAGGAAATAAAAAATAACACCGCGATCCCCAGGCAGGGGATCTGCCTGTCATAATTTACATTACTGTATACCATATTCCTTTTAAGCGATCGAGCATTAGGAGTTAGGAAGTTATTTGTTTCAAATTAATGCACGCGATTGGCACTTTGGAAGAACTGATTCTAGAGGAAAACACCATAGAGTGCACGCGAAATAATTGTATAACTCATTTTATTCTTTTATTGGATGCGTAATGTACTATTGGGGGGCTTGTTACATTAGAGTCAGTACGTGTTGGGACTTGTCACGTGGCATTTAATTAACTTATCAAGCTATTACAGTCAGCGATGGGCTATTAATGATTAAGCGCGACATGATAGCCATTTATATATATTCTAAGAACGTGCCAAATTGCCAAAAGGAGGAGTGCATAACAAACTCTATTCAAACGATTGGAACCAGCATGTTAAGATGTTACTACACTGTGTACTATATACAGTATACATATAAATACGATGTACATGTAAAAGCTATAAAGCTTCCATAGTTCCATGTTGCAAACTAGATAAGCAAATAAATGTATGACGACGACCACATGCGATGCAACGTGAACGAAGGTACTCAAGCAACCAGCAAAACATTTAGGTAGATTTAAACAGTGACCTAGTCAGAAGATTAAGGGTATTTTTCACTTCCGTTCATCCTAGGAAGTTCAATGTTAAACTCTGTTAAACACAGTACCATCATGTAACATATGACACAGTGTATACATTTGATACTTTATAGTCCTCTCAAGCCGAAAATACCTATAGATACAGCCATACCGAGCTGCAATCTACATAAATCCTTTAATAACAATGACTAATCGACGTATGCACATGGAACTCAAGAATTGTGGCCGTAGTTCCTGAGTTTCATTTGTACACAGTGACTAGTTAAACTCTGTAGTGAGCAGCAATGCTACATGAATAATAAAATAAGACCCATTATAGGCCCGTTATATATTATGTTGTGTGTAATCTCATATGATTAGGTACATTTCGTGCCACATGGATCAAACACTGAAGCAGTGATCTCCGAGCCTCGGAGATCAACGGCGCGGCGACACTGAACAACAAAACTTAAACTACACAGTGCAAACTACACAGTATCTACTACATACTATAATTCCGGTTTCATATTTACACCGTACGTGCTATATCTTTTGTTTGAATCAATAAATCATCCTTTTTTCTTTTTTTAATCAATTGCGTGCAAATGTTTTGTTTAACTGTTTAAGATTCAATCTATTTATATTTTATATTTATAATTATGTAATAAAGATATTATATTCGTAAACATTGACTGGCTAACAAAGCAGTCCCCAAACAAACAAACTACACAGTACCTACTACACAGTACCTACTACACAGTACCTACTACACAGTACCTACTACACAGTACCTACTACACACTACCTACTACACAGTACCTACTACACAGTACCTACTTCACAGTACCTACTACACAGTACCTACTACACAGTACCTACTACACAGTACCTACTACACAGTACCTACTACACAGTACCTACTACACAGTACCTACTACACAGTACCTACTACACAGTACCTACTACACAGTACCTACTACACACTACCTACTACACAGTACCTACTACACAGTACCTACTACACAGTACCTACTACACAGTACCTACTACACAGTACCTACTACACAGTACCTATAACTACACAATACAAACTACACATGGACATCACATGTATATAGAAATTCCACTTAAAGCTTCAAATGTACGAAGAAATGACGGAACGTAAGTTGTAGGACAATGTGCTAATAGGGGGATACTGCAGATATTCTAATATACTAGTGAATGGGATGATTTTCGAGGTGCTGATCTCGTTTTATCTTGCAGGACGATATCACATCACATGAGAACCACGAATGTATACGACGAAACATGCTACGAAAAAACGTTTATGTCCTGGTCGGAACCATACATTAAACTGTCAATATTAAAATTCTGCGTCCAAGCAAGTTCCATATAATTTGATGAGTGCGTGACTTTCTCGGCAGATGTGCGGCAGTCAAATCGAAGCATAGATCTAACGAAGTACGAACATTACAAATTCCAATGATAACTATAGTTTGAAATGGTCCAACTACAGAACGACGGTATTGCCTATTGATTGTCAAGCGTCAAAATAGCTGTAAACATGGCTCTGAACATGTCATGAACTTTATGAAGAAGTTCGTGCACGAATATTTTGAGAAGTGTGTAGAATTAGTGCAAGCCTTTTTTGATAGCGTGAAAGTGCACACTCATCAACCATGAGTTCCATTGAGAAGCAAATTTTTGCAATATTTTACAACCTCATCGATCTTAAAGATGATCAACTTTTTTCGTAAACTATTTTTATTGAAAATTGAACATCATATTGTATACAAAGCTGTACACATATATCAAATAAATCTAATAATCCAAAAAAATTCACCTATCAATTATTACATTGCATCATCAAAAAATGAAATGTATTCAAGCTAAAATAATTTGGTAATTAATAAAGGAAATAACGATATGTAGGTTTAATAAATCACTTTTTACAATGATTGTGCGTCTTAAATAAAAAAATGGAGAATTCGAGTCGTTTCGGAACTTTCCGAAAATAACAAGCTGAGTGAGAGACGTCAAATATGATTGCAAATACATCATTGAAACATATGACACCGAATATCATTATTTTATAGTCCAATGAACAATCGCCGATTTGATAGTCAGTTGTTTCATGTTATAATTTGAGCTGTTGATGATGTAACGTCTGCCTTACTCAACACATTATAATTAAGATCAACGTTGTCTCCTATACTGCCGCTCACACTATTCTGGGAGTTGACACTGATTCTTCTTCTTAGCTTCTTTCTGGATTGTGTGTAACTGTAAGGCTTGGAAATTTCGAAAGATCAGATTTGATAGATCAGTTTCTAGCGTATGATCAATACATTTTATTGCAGCTGAAGAAATACTGAAAGCTATAAGATCTTAAAATGTTATTTGTAATCTTACCTGTAATATATGACTATAGCTGCCCCAATTGCCATTAGAATTGCTACAACGATACCAACGTACAGACCAGTGTAGCTTTTTCTCTCTGGAATATCTGCAAAAGATTTAGGGTAAGAATAATAATTTCGACTGTGAAACGTTCGATCAGTTTTTAATCTGTTGGCGGACGCGGAAAATGAATTTTATGAATCAATATAAGACCATTGAGAAGACATTTGAATTTATATTGAATGAATATTTATATTATTATAATATATATATTATATATATATATATTATATTATAAGAAGTGAATTGGGGTAATCAATAAACATTATATCTCAGAACTGCAATCTTGCAACGAACTAAGATAGTTCATCGTGGTGAATTTTGCACTAAGTTACTTCTTTACCATACTTAACGAAACCTTATCTCATGACAACAGATTAGTATACAATTCATTAACTTCCTGATGAGAGCGTAATTGTAACAATTAATTTGGACACTATTTTGATAAATCAAATGAACCAGTCAAGAAATAAGAAAGTATCTTTTGAAAATAGTTGCTTTCGCATAGCCTTCGTTATTCTTTCTCAGGATCAGCAAGGAAAATTGGGAAAAATGATGTTTTTTGAAAGCACTTAATCCGTTTGTTTTATTTTATTGACGCGACTTAAACACAACCGAGTTTTTGTGAATCCACTAAAAAAGCAGAAAAGATTTCCCTGAAGAACACGACATCACGGAGGGGACACTAGTAGACAATTAAAAGATGATGAGATTGATACAAATCCTGGAGTACCTTGATCGCTTGTATGATACAGGGATACATGGTGGTCAAGTATTAGCAGATTAGCTACACGTGAGAAAGCAAACCTATCCTCAGGCGACAGTAAACATCTCGTTATATTACCCTCTGATCACTAATAACAACCTCGGTGTATTCACCTGACACACCGATTACCGGGCCATTCTCGTTTCATTGCATGTTCTTACCAAGGACACGTGATGATTGCTATTTGCTAGTAGGGTAGTCGGGAAAGAGGGCAGATTAGTTATTAGTAAAAAGGGATGATCGGTTTAATTAGCGTATACCTTCCCTTATTATTGTATTATAATAATGATATACTATGTATTATTGTACTAGATATCGATACTAATGCATCCCTCGACCCTCACAGATTCATGAGTGATAGAACAGGATTGATTCAGTGTTTCGCTGTTTAATAACAAGCAGTTCGTTTATATGGAGTATATTTTATATTTACATCAGAAAATCTGGAATTGATTTGAGGTTTTAGTTATTTTAGAATTTTTACAGAGATTTTCATTTAAATAATTTGTGATTACTTGATTTCAGAGTTTTATATTTGAATGTTTTTAATTTATTAAATTATTGATGATGCATGATTTATAATTTTATCCAGAGTAGGCAGTACGTTTATGTTGATAATTGATAGCCATGATACAGGAAGAAGAGGTGAACTATTAAACTACATGTTAGCTTATTCATTAGCACAGTCAAAATATTAAAACATCAGTTCATGAAAATCCCACGTTTATTTATGATTGCACCTACATTCCCTTTAGAATCATGCTATTTTAAAAGGAATCAAAATGAAATAAAATCGACTGTCTTTCCACCAATATCAAATTATAAACTAAAGCTAGTAACCCTTAATTTCCTGCAGTTTCTAAAATACCGAACAGGATCCAGCACAGTGGTTTTTGTGAACAGATTCACAGTCAGAATGGTTGGAACATGTTTGGTATTTCTTAGTTTGCTCATCTCCTTGAAGCCAGCACCATTCTTTACATTGAGGTACACAATGATCTTTCTTGGAAGTTGCATAGTAGCAGACACCTGTGAAGAATATGGAGAATGTACATGTACGTTTGATGCAGGATGACCCAGATTTACAGGTTCATGTCCAGCCCCAGAACTCTTACCTTAACCTCAACCCAAACCATAGCCCTAGTTCTGGGGCATGACGTCCTGGAACGGTACGATGGTTCTCAAATTATTTGTGTACAACACTACATTGCCAATAATCACATGAACGACTCCTTTTCAAAAAAATAGATTTGCATCATTTAGCTGTAAGTAAAAGTGAAAATCTTGAAGACTTACCAAGACAACCACTCCAACAATACCCATTTTTGCACCCAAAGTTGCAACCAGTTACAGGATCACAGGGATACTGATTATAGCCCCAGGCACAATCTAACGGAATAGTGGACTGTTAATTAAGAATAAAGGTTTAAGATTATAGATTACGAGGTCGGTGACCTACAGAAAGTGGTACGACAGAAAGTTGTCCGACAGATTTAATGATCTGCGGTGTAGGTCAAAAATTCCCAGATCTCGTCTCGGTATGCCCATGGCTTTATACGTCTGATTATAAACAAACGATACACACATAAGTTTCTAGCCTTATGGCACAGTCTGTTGCCCTTATGACATAGTCCATTGCCTTAATGGAAAGGTCGATTGGGTTGATGGCACAGTTTTTCGATTTGATGGCATATTCTATTGCATTGATGGCGTAGTCTGTTGCCCTTATGGCATAATCTCATAATGTGTTGCTCTGATTGTATGATCTGCAGAAATAGCATACCACACAATCGGGGTTCTGGAAGTTTGATTCCGGCCGGAGAGAGCATCTCAAATAAAGCATTACAAAATGGAAAATTGATATTGTCTAATTTCTGTCCCATTTTCAAAAACGATTTTCCTTTCACCGATTTGATGGAATTTTTGTCCAGAGACCAATTATTCACTTAACAATGGATGGCATATGACACAATTGAGGTGCCGGAAGTTAAAATCCGACACCAGAAAGAACCACAGAAGGGAAAATTATACCGTCCAACATGTTAGCCTGTTGACATAGTAGCTGTTGCATTGATGGTAATTCACCACATCAATACAAAAGCCTGGTAAAAGAGCTTAGACCGGCGACTTAGTCCCTTACGTGAACTCAACTACCAACTCAATGAACACAACCGTCCCAAGAAATTGCACCCTCAGCGAGAAGGACAATTTGACTCTTTCTTTCATAGTGTGAGACATATTATTATGTAAGAGATTTGGTTGGGGAGGCGGGTTATCGTTGTGAAGTACTGTACTACTCACGAAGTACTGTACACGATGTTTTCAACCCACGAGTCAGAGAGCAAGCTCAACTGACGGCTCCCAGATGGCGTATGCACATGCTTGCTTGGTACTCATGGTCGATACAATCACAGCCCAACCAACTATACTTGATCAGACCGATTCACCTACATGTGCATACGCCATCTGGGAGCCGTCAGTTGAGCTTGCTCTCTGACTCGTGGGTTGAAAACATCGTGTACAGTACTTCGTGAGTAGTACAGTACTTCACAACGATAACCCGCCTCCCCAACCAAATCTCTTAAATTAAAAACATTACACACAGTATGCACACTCACAAATATGGCAGTGAGTATCCCAGCTGCATATAATGCAGTGTACTAATAGCAGCAGATATGAGATAACAACACGATTGCTTACTGATAGGCGTGCAAGAAATTCCTGAGCTGAATAGGGCCGGTAGCTCAATTGGTAGAGCACCAGGCATGTAACTCGGAGGTTGGCGGATCATACCCGCCCCGGCACTATGCCGGCCCATGATTTTCCGAATCGCTTACCAGTGGAAATCTAGTCAATTCAAATATCTGCTTGCTTGGTACTCATGGTCGATACAATCACAGCCCAACCAACTATATTATTATGTAGTCAAAGGATATTTTTTCCGAAGATCGTCTCTGCTATATAAGTATGTAGAATATAGATTCCACGAGATGTTCCAAAAACTACAGATAACTAGAAATCATAATATAGTCTTCGTCCAAGACTGTAAAGGTTCATTCCTTATATCGTACAAAGCAAACAAAATTATCAAACGAAAACTTGCTTTCCCTGCGGAACGGAAATTGTTTCAAAGTTCATGACCGGTTCAGTGACAGTGAAATGCCACGTCTGGTTGACAATATTGAAAAAAGATACCTCCGTACATCACTGTTGATTACTTAAATACATAAACAATGTACAGTTGGATTGGAGAACAGAAAGAAAGGATCCAAAGAATAAAAACCAAAATGCTGACCAAATCATAAAAAGTCAAGATTTGAATATGAAACAGAAATGGTCATTGAAATTCATTCAGCTGGGTTTTATTGATTCTGTTGGTTATTCAGTTTTCTTTTGTGAATTTAAGGTTGTGTGCTAGGATATGTGCTTAGTTGACGAGTGCTGAGTGAAGCTGAGCTGGAGATGAGATAATGTCGATATAATTCCGTAAACGTGACACACTGAAGGAGTTGTGAAATTGTGCACATTGCATTTGCAACGCGGCCTTCTCTTAGAAGTTGAACAAAGTTATTTTTATTTTTAGCTTTATCCCAGGTGATGGTTATTTTAGCACCTTATGTAGTACAAAAGAATGCTAGATGTCAAGATCATCAAATCATTCGAATTCGAAAGTTCAAACAAAGACTAAACCAGTTTACGCTACTTTGTGAAAACATATGTGCAATCGAGTTTAGTTACTAAATTTGTAAAATAAAGGCCTGAAGTATTGCTATTTACTGTCCCATCAACCTTTGAGTACATCAAAGGTCGAAATTAATAGCTGTTGGGCGTTGTAGATTAATAATATACAATAGAATTTCTTACACGTGTAATGCCTACATTTTCCAAGACACGTGCACTCTAGCTGCCAACATCTCAATATTTCCTTATAGTTATAGCGGTCCTCTGATCCTGACTATAACACACTATTAAATTCAGTGATAAAAACATAATCATAACCGATACACAAATAGTGTATACAGATAGTTTTCATGGTGCAAGTTATAAACTAGCCCTAGGCTAATGGTATCAGCTCGTTTCATTTTTTTTGCCCAGAATTTCTAACCGATTATGAAATGACATTCTCCATGATTGAACAAATCTAATTTCGGTCACGAGCAACCTTGTGGATGTAACTTTGGCGACATAAAGTAAAACAGATGGTGTGAAGAAGCATATATAAATATCTTTAATCGTTATTTAGTTTACTTTTTTGTCTGAGAAAATTAGAATCGACGTTCAATAGCAACAATTAAGGGGACGACCCCTTCCGAAGTATATGCTGACAAGCACACATGCATATCGTTATTATTCTTACCATTGTGAATGAGCGTATTGGAATCAGCATCATACTCCATCTGATCGAAGTATTTGCCTTCACTAGATGATGGCTCATCCTTGTCACAATCCCAAAACCGAAGCTTGCTTTTTAAAGGCAGGTTGACAAGAGCGTCTCTTTCTTTTACTGTCCACACTTTATTTGTTAGTTTCACTGCGTAGTAGATGGTTAGAGCTTTTGTGTCCTCGTTCCAGCCACAGTCAGTTTTTCGCCTGTTCTCCACTAACGTGCATTCTGAAGTGATGTTAATGTAATATCCAAACATACAATATGTGTGAGATTAAACACACCGACACAGCCGCATGACTACGCGTTAATATTGGTATATTTGTCTTTTCAATTTTTTTTTTCTTCTATGACATAATATGTATAATTCGAATTGCACATAACAAAGATCAAAAATAATTTGTTATGTTATCAGGAACGGATCTAAAATTTACCATGCAAAACGAAATAATTATTACAAGAAATCTATGAAAAGATAATCTTCATTTCGTTGTCAGTACAATATAAATATTAAATACCGTTAGTTTTGAGGCAAGGGACTGCTATGTAAGTACCACATGTATCTGATTTCTTTGCTAAAATGTTCCTTATTTTCGTTGAAGAGTAGTAGTAGTTTTCACTAGTGTTCTCATACTCGCAAACCTTTGATAAGATGATTTGATTTCTATAGAATTAAAGCGGTTTAATGAAAATGATGTAGGTTTAAAAGAATTTAGGAATGAGATTAGAATACTGAACCTAGTTTGAAGTGAAAATTCATTTTAGCTATGATGATAATAAATTCAACAAGAAATACTAACCGTGAAATCAGCTTTTTGAAGGTCCCAAACTTGCTCATACTTTCCATCGACGAAGGGATAAATAGTTTTGCACGTTGCAAGTTGAGGTGGTTCATAGGAGCCAGTGCTTTTTGAGCAAAATGATTCCTCCTTGGCGTCATCAGTAACTGGAAAGTATAAGGTAACTTTTGCATTGTAAAGATGTTGCAAGATAATGAAAAACAGTGACCAGTCACCACTTCACCCAGCCCTCCGACCTTTATATATAGAACACTGAATATGTGTGCCTCATTCAACAAAACTGTTGCCTCTCATATATGACTAAAAAATGTCGTATACCTTACTCGGGAACATTATAGCGGGTTAATTTATGACTGGGAAAATTAATGACCGGGAGAAATATGGCGGAATTTTCCAAAACCCACCACTTTATCCCAGTCATAATATTCCCGAGTAAGGTAGGTAACTAGGTATAAGGTTATCATCGCCAATTTAATACTTGGTTATGTTCTCAGTTTCATGAATAAGTCTTCCTTACCATCAACTATGTATCTCATGTTGTCATTATCATCAGGACAAATTACTTTAGCTGTTCTGTCCCCTTTATCATCCGTGAACTTAATAGACATTCCCGAAACTGAGGAAAATAGTTTAGATGAATTCCATCAGTTGTGAAAAAAATAGCCTGATGTTATAATTGTTTTTTGACTCTATCAAATTTTCATGCTGTAATTGAATGATTAAGGGTGAATTCGAATTTTAATCCGGAATGTTATAATAGTTAAGTTAATGACTACATTCGTACTTTTTTCGATGGACGATATCGGAGCTTTGGTGCAATCATAGTATGTTTTCACTCGTAACTGCTTACTCATCGTCACTGATGATCCGGTAAATTGGACCTAATCGAATAAAGATGTAAATCAAAACAGATAATACATGTGTACATGATTAAATTTCAAAGAAGAACTATACCAATTGTCTGAAAATATCGTGATTCGTTACTGGGGCATCCGAGAATTACAAAGATGCAAAGTTATGGTAAGGATGTTCATATTGAGCAAAGAGCACAAAAGACATGAAAAAGCTACATCAAGCACCTACCGTGCAAAAGAAATAGTCACCATTTAGGACAGCCTCTGATGTCGTGACAGTGTAATGGTGGAGATAATTCTGCTTCTCTGAGATAGAACTACTTTCATCAGTAATAGTGTACCTGGAGCTGTCAAGTTCATTGTTATTATTGATTAACTCAAACGTTACAACAGACTCAGGAGGCCCATAAGCCGAGCAGACAAGATCAAAAGATCCGCCCTCAACGATGGTGTCATCAGAGTCAACCCAGAAAGACTTGATGTGTCTCACTTTCAGTTCAAATTCGTCAGATGATACCTTCCCTCCATGAAACGCTTCCTCAGTATCGCTGTGATAGTCGACGCTACATTTAATATCGTATGCACTGTGTTGAATCTGTATTGGACCAAGAGTAAGAGTACTTATTAGTTTTTTATCTCCTCCAATCTTCGGTTCCTCGATCTCAAATCTGGGTTATCAATTGGTTATTAATAACATTTAAATGAAGGAAAAATTGTGATGAAAAAAAGCAAGTTCAATCATAATATTATGTCTGTATTATGCATAAGAATTGAGATTATAATCTTTCGGTAATGCATTAACAAAACTGTTCCAATCACTGGACTCACTCGATATCCTTGTTGCCCTCAACTTTAACCCACTGCGATGATTTCTCTAGACGTAGCATCCATTCAAAATCAACATCTACCTTCTCCAATGAAGGTAGCAGTACATCAGCTGAACACTCAATCTTCAGTGTCCCGTTTTCAGCGCCCCATCCATCAGGAGCATCAGGAGATTGTATATTGACCGCCAGAACAGTCGCAGAAATTGGGGTGGATTTGAGAATGGTTGCATCATCATCCCACTGGGCAGCACAATAAATATAAGAGCTAACTGTGAGATTGGGGGTGAGTTTTCCAACTGTGGTAACTCTTTGTTGGTCATCTTGAGTTTCAGTTACCTCCACTGTTATATCACGTGACATGTCTTTGTCTGTTACTGAAAATGATATGGCAGCTACTTTGTCACCTTCTACGGAGCACGTTAGGGTAACAGGTGCTCCAGAAGACATGGAGAAAGCTTCTGGGGGTTCTGTAATTGTTCGCACTGTCAGTGTTGTTTCTCCAGAATTAATGACGACTCCATTTTCCCAGGTTATGGAACAAGAGTACTTTCCGTCAACTCCTGGATCTACCTGAGTGTTAAGGACTTTGTTGGTACTCAAGTTACTACTATCGAGGGAAACATTATGTGAATATTTCTACCTCATAATACTTGTCGTAATTAACTGAGAAAAAGTATTTTTGTGACTTGAGTACGCAGATACGCCATACGGGCATACTAACAGGGGGCGACCTTACTTAACATTACTAGATAATGGAGGACAGAAGGCTGTGGAGAACTGTTGTCCAATGGATTTCGGGAATACTACAACGTAAAGTCAAGTCAAGTACGTTGAGTTTGTCTTACCTTGGTAATCTTTAGAATAGTTTCGATAAACGCAATTTCATCAACAATAGACCGTTCGGTGTCAACTGTATACCACCCGGTCTGATCCACTATAATCTGTGTTAGATGGGCCGTTAAAAATAGGTTAAGTAACGGTTTCAGTGAATAATTATTAATTGTAATTTAACTAGTCCCAAGATTACAAAGTTTGGAGATGTGCCCAACTTTGAAATCGATAAAATTTTGTTGTGATTTGCAAGAGTAAATTTAAGTAAAATATGAAAAAGTTGTTCAAATCTTACTTTTTTATTAAATTCCCACGATACAGTGTACTTAGTCACCACATTACTGTCTGGGAACTGACACACAAGCTCGTGAGACTCATCCTCATAAGCATGTTCATTATCGGCAGGAGCCTTTGTAGTTTTAGCTGGAAACACTCGAAGAGAAGTACTGCTGGAATTGAAAATGGTCTCAGGAAAGTTAACTGTTTCGTCTGATATTATCCCTTGACACTTAAATTGATCATCCACCGGGTTATCACTATCGTTGTTTGTTATCAGTGAGATTTTCATCTTTTCAGTGAGTTCATTTGATTCAACTTTCGTTACTGATACCGTTTCGTAGACTGTTAACTCTTCGCCGTTTTGAAACCTTACGGATTATTTTCATGAGATTCAATTTGAATCTTGCGATTGCAGACATCTAATTAATTGTGGCAATTATGCAAAAACCTAAACCTAATGCTCAAGTCTTAGTGAGAATTTTATTGTGAAAATCTAAAGATTTAAGCCGTTACCGGACTACATAAGTCCATATAATATTATAACTCACCATTTAAACGATTTTGCTCCACCGGCAATATCACACTCCAACGTAAGCTTAAAACCGGAGACTATCTGTGTTACTGGAGATGAATCGAGCAACAACAGCATTGTAGCTTCTGAAGAACAACTACATCATTTGATGGATTAGACGTGCTCGTGGCTGGATTTCTGATTTATGACAAAGTTTTCTAGACGTGGTAAAAAAGAAAACATTTGCATTGAAATGAGAATGATATCAACTTACTGCGAGCGATAAGGTATATTGTTTCTGAGAACTGTTCTTCGTCATCTAGAACGAAATGACATTTGTATGTGCCATCATTTCCGTTTGAAACATCAGAAATGGAATACTTAATTTCAGTTTTACCCGTTCGATTATAAACACTTTGTCCGTTATAAGTCATCGAGGCTTCCTTGACTGTAGTTCCGACTGATCCTAAATTTCCTTGCAAGGTACAATCTATAGATGTGAGGGTTCCATCTTTGTAATCAAAGAAAATGAACGGTCCATGAGTTACAACTTGAATACTTACAACTTTCACTGTTGCAGTAACTTGATTTTCGTCATCAAATGAGAATTTGCAATTGTATTCTTCATCAGCAGCTGGTCTGTTAAGAGTTATGTTACTGGTGTATTGTACACCATAGTCAGGATCAGGATCGGTTCTTTAGTTGAATATTATGTTCGTAACTCCATCAATGTTGATGTCTGAACCACCATTTTGCCAAACGACTGCTTTCGGCTCAATATCACCCTCAAACTGGCACTGCAACTCTAAAATCTCACCTTCAACATACTTATACGGTTGACCATCATTACTCAGATCACTTACAATTACACCAGTTCTTACAACCACTTCAGTCTCAGCCTCTATCCGGTCTCCGTCATTATCTGACCAATCATCAGACCATACACATTTGTATTTCCCTGCGTTCAACTCAACGCTAACATCTTTCATATCTAATGTAAATTTCTGCTCATTGTTTTTAAATTCGTTCTTTCCGCCGGTCAAGATCTCGTCTGATTTGTGGAACCATTTCAGACTTCCTTGAGATTTACCACTATACGCACACTCAAGGTTTATGGATCCATCTGTACTGTAAGATTTTGCTTCTTGTGTCATCTGTAGAGCTTGGGATAGGTATATCGTGTGAGCAAATCAATTAACAAAAACATAACCGAGATAACAAACAAATTTTTTTTGTTGAATTTATGGAATGGTTAAATGGGCATGCTGGATCTATTGAAAAATAATTCCCTTACTTCTAACGTGGATTGTCATAGTTTCAGAAACATCATCAACATTACTACTGGTTCGTATCCACTTGCAGATGTAGCCACCACTGTCCACAACAGAAATGTTTTCTAATTTAAGTACGCTGTTTTGTTTGTAGGTGTCACTGTCGAACGACTCTGTAGTGTATTTTTCAGGGGCAATGATGTTGTCTTCTGTTTCCGAACCCTGTGTATCATTCAATACATTTTTACGTTAAAATCATGATGCATACCTGCACATTACAATGCGAAACTACAAGCTTAAAAACTACCATGTATATATATATATTATATATCAAGTAAGTTTGGAAAATTAGGTGAAATAGATGGTTATTGGTTGCTCCAGGCTCCTGGGTATAAAAGTATGAAACGTTAGCTTTTCTTGATATATTTGAACATACCTTGTACCATTTGACTTCGTCTGGTTCTTTCAGTCCGAAATATCTACAAGTTATCAAAATCGAGTTGGTTAAATCATGCTTGATAATAGGAGATTTCGGTTCCAATGTCACCTCTGAAATACGTTTCATTGTTTATAGATATTAAATATAAAAACAGACGTCAGACATTTTGTATTCTCATTCAAGCTGGCACTGTTGTGTAGCAACTAGAGATTCACTGCCTCCTGACATGCAAGCTACACTAAAGAACTAATTTAAATTAAACCAACCTCCATCAGCCCTGATACACACTGGTTTAGCCTGGTACTGGAACCCCTCTGGGTACCTAGGATTACAAGTCACTACTCTGCTAACAGCTACAACCTCTTCATCACTAACACAGGATAGACGGAGGACAGTACCGTCAGTAACTGGTAACTCGGGAGGGGGTGTTACTCCTGTCCAGTCTGCTGGTATGCTATCACAACCTGTACAAGGGTAAGATAATCCAACAGTTAGAGAAGATATGAATTAGAAGTGTTTTTCTCTGGAGATTTCAATTTGATACTTTGATCATGATCAAAATATTGTGTTTAATTTTTGCCACCACGAGGTATCCGATAATTTTTGGTCCTAACATCGAATAAGTTGACAATTGAAATCGACGTGTCATCTAGTTCAGTCCTTCAAAGTAAGGATTCAGTAAAATCAAAATAATCATTTTACAACTTACTTTTTGGCATGAATCTGTAGTCTGTAGTTGCGTCATCAGTACTTTCGAATCGAAGCCTCCGTGCATAAGAAAGACTCCATGGGTCGCATTCATCAGCAGGGTCTCGCTCCCCAGCCAATTCCTCATAGTCGATTATTTGTACGCCATTACAGAAGACGAGAACAGTATTTTCAAATCTTTCCATGGTCCAGATTATTTCATCTTGTTTACCATTTACAGCATAACATTGAGCCAAGTCCAATTCCTTTTCATTGTAAGAGCACATTTCGAAAAGATATTTCGCTTCGTCTTTAAATTCGACCATTAACCGGAATTGATTGGTATCCCCTCTTCCATTTTCAAAAATAAGTCCAACACTTGCGTTACTTCCCAAAGCTGAATCGGTTTTGAATTGGAGTGGGTACTTTTCGAGATTCATTTTCTTGGCATTGGTAACTTTATCGGGTACCCTCCATGACGTCAGATCTGATTTGATATTGAATATGTTAGCACATACAAGTGACGCAAAATTTAAATACTATATCCCTATCGATCAGGAATGATTTCGAAATTATACTTCGAAATAATTGCTAGATACAAATAAAATACTGCAGTCACAATCTAATATAAAATAGCTATATCAATAGTAATACGATTCTGAAACAATACCTCCGGAAAGACACCACAACTTACCAGCTATATCAATAGTAATACGATTCTGAAACAATACCTCCGGAAAGACACCACAACTTACCAGCTATATCAATAGTAATACGATTCTGAAACAATATAACCTCCGGAAAGACACCACAACTTACCAGCTATATCAATAGTAATACGATTCTGAAACAATACCTCCGGAAAGACACCACAACTTACCAGCTATATCAATAGTAATACGATTCTGAAACAATATAACCTCCGGAAAGACACCACAACTTACCAGCTATATCAATAGTAATACGATTCTGAAACAATACCTCCGGAAAGACACCACAACTTACCAGCTATATCAATAGTAATACGATTCTGAAACAATACCTCCGGAAAGACACCACAACTTACCAGCTATATCAATAGTAATACGATTCTGAAACAATACCTCCGGAAAGCTGACACCACAACTTACCAGCTATATCAATAGTAATACGATTCTGAAACAATACCTCCGGAAAGACACCACAACTTACCAGCTTTCAAAGAGTAACCAGAAACTGTTGTCTCTGGATCAATCCAAAACTTATCCTCATCTTGTTCAGAAAACCAATCACTCTTACAAGTCCCATACTCATCTTGATCTCCAAACTCCTTATCAAAATCGACCACTACTTTTTCGTTACATGTTATCTTAATAGAAGTATTGATATCCCTTGAAAATGTCCATATTCGGATATCATTATCATCCAGTGCATCACATGTAAAGTCAACCCAATCAGTCGTGCAAGATGTCACCCAATATTGCATCGGATCTGTAAATCTCACACTTATCTTGGATGTAAAAGTGTAAAGGAGGATACTCAGTAGCTCATTAGAACCGGGAGTTGTTGTAGTTTTTATCTGTATAGGTTCCATTATGAGTGTTATTGGTACCAGAACTCCACTACCAACATCATCTCTCCAATTTCGGAGATCTACGAAATGTTTTTAGAATGAACTATGAAGAACAACGATAGAACGTAACAACTTTTATCAAAATGCGCCTGAATTTCGGCCATACTGATTGAAATAATACAAGCGATAGCTATCGATTTCTAAACATTTATTTTTGTGACAACAAGTCTCTCCGAGTAAAAATTCTCACCTGCCGTCTCACAGCTTGGAGTGTTTGAGTAACCAAAACCACCCTCTCCTTCCTGGTAAGGATCACACTTCACCACGCGATCACCAATAAGTAACAAATTGTTAGCGACTGCTTCATCACAGTGGAGAGATAAGGCTTTCTGGTAGGGTATAGGAAAGAAGGTATCTGTTCGGATTTTCGAGGTGAACCATGAATCGGAAGGGTTAGGCATCCTGAATAAGAATGCTGCTACTTATAATATTGCGAATAATTACACCCCCGCGACAACAAATCTGCGACCAGATTTAATATCCGTATATACTGGGAGTGTTGGTGAGAACAGATCAGTGTTGATATGTGTAATACAATAGGGGCAGGGGAATCTATAGCATTGAGACATATTTCATTGTTCGGTTTAAATGTTCCAGGAAAAGGGAGGGATTATGAACAATAAATTCCTGACAAAAATCAAAATTGGTTACAAGTCTGTTAATTGATTGTTAATTATGTGATGACTATGTACCGAACATTGCTGTCTTATTGATCACGGGCCGGGCCGGTTGCGGTATTCCATAGATGCACACTTGCAGTCACAGACTTGTTTTAATTAGTCTATCCAACGGCGATTTAACGGTGATCTCACGATATCTTTATCTACATTCTTATTAACGCATAGTTATAAAAATCTACAAAATAGTAACTTAATTTGTCCGACCTATTTAAAAAAAGTGTTAAGACGAATATTGCAATATTCGAACAAGATTATAGTCTAGTCCGGGTCTAGTCCGGGTCTGTTTTAACTAGTCTATCTTACTCTTTTAATAGAGATACCACGACTGGTAATTTATTATCATTTGTTATCATCCGATAAGTTATTATACAGATGACTTATATGAAATAATAAATGTTGACCTAAACATATGGTACGACTTCTAATCCTCACAATGTTTTGGTCCACATTGTTGGGTCTTAGACCTTGCCTTTCACTGCAACGTGTATTATACCTAACCGTAATACAACTGTAATTCTGTCCTGTTAAACTGTAACCAGGTAACCTTCGCCATATTTCTTAAAGTAGAAACTACATAATGCATTCTATATAATAATGTAGCTGAAAACCAAGAAATACCAAAGTACATAATACATATTTTTTAAAGGTTGAGCATCGTGTACTAATCCATACTATAAAAGCACAAAATGTTGCACAATTTCAAATTTCTTACCAGGAGGCCGTCGATAAAATCCGTCAGTGATTGAGCCAGTTGCATCCATAAATAGGAAACTATGCATAGACCTTGACCAAGTTGAACAATCTGATAGATCCAGATCAACCATTATTTGTTCATTACATGTTACCAGCAGAGATGTTACCAGCAGAGAGTTATCCGTCTTAGTGAAATTTTTCCTTATATTCCAGGTTAGATAACCGTCGGAATCTGGAGCACAACTGTCCGCAGCACTGGTCCAGTCATCAGCTGTACAACCTTCAATCTTGTATTGAACTGGATCTGATAGCTTTATCTGGAGCTCACGTGTCAAAGCATTACTATCAGCTCTTTTTGTAAATGTAACTGTATTACACTTACTGGTACGTTCACTTGTATCCATCACATATTTTTTGCCATCAGAAGTGAACTTGAGGGTGATCTCCTTATCAGAACCGATGGTAGATTTAGTTCTTATCTGGAGAGATTGAACAAAGAGGCCGCCTTCAGGCTGAGTGTCGTTCTGAAGAGTTACATCTATATCAGTAGTCACTATTTTCCAGCCTGTAAAGAGATATTATATATTATATATTATATATAATATTGCAACTACATATTCAATTAATTTTAATATGATTCATATCGCACATCAACTTAGAATTTAGATATCGACTAAACTTCTTATACGATTGGAAAGCTAGAAATGTATTTTGCTAACCGTACTCAACCAGTGGCGTAACGTTGCCTGTTGGCGCCCCCCCCCCCCCCCCCCCAGTGATTACCCCGGCCGTTAATTATGAATTAGATTATATAACAAGATTGCATAAATTATTTAAAATAAATGTTACATTAAAATATGTAATAATAAATAACATGATATCAGAAAATAAAAACCTTGGTCTGAGTCATCACATACTGTTTCACGAACAAGACAGAAGCCTAACAAAGGCAATATTGTAGACAATAACCGTATCATATACTGCTATCACTTATCTTGGATTGTACCTCTAAAATAAGAAAAAAATGTAACTTTTTTTTGATTAAATAATTTAATAAAATGATCACTGAAAACAAATGTATACGGCATATTGATGGTCTATCATATCTCATGGGTCTAACATCAACAGTTCCAAAACGTACGCAAAATAAAATGCAAAACATAAGACTCCATGCTCGTGTATAAGACGATCCTGCTAAATGTTCAAATAGTAGAGTAAATGTAGAGTATAGTTTTTTCCAAAATATTAATATTCTTGGAACGGAACTGAATCACGACGCGGAAATTTGATACCCGCTTTTGCCTCACAGTCATATGTAATTATTTAATGTCTCTGATCTCTATACAACTGCCTAGTGAAGATGTTTTTGTCAAAACTGACTTGCATATTGTTTGAGAATGAGCTAAGTGAGTTCAAGATGGAAGTAAGGAAAGCAAAAAGTAAAGCTCACGGAACATCAACAAAAACTAGCACGAAATAAATACTTTAAATGTGATCAATAAAGCTGTAAGAAAGGCATGGTACACGGTTCACCGAACAAATTGAAATGAAACCTGATACTTCACCATCTGGAGACAGTAATCACGGGGATATTATGTAACTTAGTAACTATGAAACATTTTGCTAATTTTGTTAACAATTTTACCATTCACTTTTGGAAAAACATCATTGCAGGCTAATTTTAAAGATACCATGAGAAATCTTTAACTTAGACTGTAGACCAGTACCAAAAGTCAAAACAACCCGAACTGAAGTTAACTTTACATGTGATCTACTTCTATACTAGAGGCCCAGCTGTTGTGTGATCTAATTCTAATTTTGACTGTTAACTCCTTATTACCATTGGTTACATTTATCATAATACACCTGCTCACGTCAGACTTCATTCTATAAAACCGTTGTTATTTTCAGGAATAGGATTTCACAAGTTTGATTGATTAACTTCATGAGTACAGCTGCTGAACAAAAGATGAAAGAGATATTCATCACAACTTGAAATTGGATTATACAGCTAAGAGCAGCCAGGCAGGTTTGTTCATTGTTGTGAACGGTAAAAGCACAGGGGTGATCGATAGGGGTGATTTCTGGCGAACTCTTATAGTTGTCGAACTACAGTTCGTATGCCTTTTAAATCTAAGTTACCATGTTATTCTGAAGATTGTTCTCTAGAATGACACCAGTCAATTTATTGAAGAGCACGTATAACCATACCCGTTTTTTGGAAACCCCGAATTTTCCCAAAGTCCCAAGTATGACAGATTGCCAAGTTTCCAGTCCCTGGTTTTCTTCTTCTCCCCTTTTTGTATCCTGGCCGATGATCAAAAAAGATTAAATTAAGATTGAAGCACCATATAATATTCACGAACCTTATCAGGTACCTTATCAGAGTGGTCTGTCATGTGGTGTATAATGGTCGTGTGAGTATTATCTGATATTTAGCTAATCTGAATGATAGGTAGTCCCAATTCGATCCATAGCAGTGTACCAGAAGTTGTCTCATCAAGATACTGTCGGCTGTTTTTGAGCAGTTCGTACTGTCAAACTAGAGTTCGTGAATTGTTGTCAACCACACCACAACCCTATTATAGTGGAACGATTTAGAATTGGCGGTTAAAATCTATAATATTAATAGTAAAGGGCCTAACGGTATTTCCACCACCAATTCTAAATCGGTGCACTATAATAGATTTGCGACTATCGGGCAATGGGCGATACATTATATACGATGATATGGAGCCGGCTTTAAAAAAAGTAAATTGAGCGAATCATGGCACTATACAATTCTAGCCATAGGAATAATTCTCGTTCAGCAGCTGTCATTCCTTTCAAATTATCAACAGTTTGGATATATACTATGTTATGCCTTTACTTTAGCAAGGTACAACACCATGTTATTCTGAATTGTTTTCTAAAATGGGACCGGTCAATTTATTGAAGATCACGTACCATACCCGTTTTTTGGAAACCCCGATAGGGTTAGTATGTACCGAAATAAAAATGATCTCATAACACATGATAAGTCACATTATGAGCATATTTTCAACACAAAATTAATTGAAATACCTAAATTAACGTTCGTCAAACCTGCTATTCGGCCCATGCACGTGAGCCCCATTGAGCATCGTAACCCCACTTTAAGTGCTGCACTATTGGATTTATTACCAATACCATGCGAGTCAGTCCTTTAAAAGTTACACAGTTACTAATCAGTTTCTTATCACACAGTTTCTAATCACACAGTTAGTGGAGATTCTAGACCCTAGTCCCTAACTCAATTATAGTGCAATGATTTTGAATTGGTGTTTCGAGCACACAAAACTTTAAGTTTTCGCGATATTTGTCAGATGAGGTTTAAATTCCATCGTAAAGTTAATGTTCTACACAGTGAGGCATTTTCCTATTAAGAGTGCAGTGCCCTTGTGAGGGATTATTAAAATTTTTATAATATATTTGTTAAGATTTAAATTGGTCATAGAACCACCCGGGCACCGTCTCGGTTTACAACATGTTTGAGATCTCCAATGATAATGATAAATATGTAAATAAATAAATGAAAAGGCCTTACGGCATTTCTAAATGTTAGGAACTCTGAACATACTTTTTTGACCTTATAACAAAGGCTTAAAAATAATCCAGCAATGATTAGATTGATATAAACATGGATTTTGTTCGGCTGAACTTACCAACAGTCTCTAAAAAACCCCCAATTCTATATTTTCTAAATAAGTTGAATAAAGTACTGCAAGGGAGTATAATTACAGTGTTACTGGAGTGTGATTGGAGTGTGATCGGAGTGTGATTGGAGAGTGATCGGCGTGTGATTGGAGTGTGATAGTGCACTTATTATTCTCCAAATATTTTCAGAGTAATATTTTTTCCCAAGTATGACAGATTGCCAAGTTTCCAGTCCCTGATTTTCTTCTTCTCCCCTTTTCGTATCCTGGCCGATGATCAAAAAAGATTAAGTTAAGATTTAAGCACCATATATTCACATACCTTATCAGGTACCTTATCAGAGTGGTCTGTCATGTGGTGTATAATATGGTCGTGTGAGTATTATCTGATATTTAGCTAATCTGAATGATAGGTAGTCCCAATTCGATCCATGACAGTGTACCAGAAGTTGTCTCATCAAGATACTGTTGGCTGTTCTTGAGCAGCCTACATTTAATTACAAAATGTCATTATCAATATATGGCCGATGGGTTAGGTGGGGAGATAATCGGGCCACTTGAGTGCCCTGACCACTGATAGTGATATAAAATGCAGACAGAATAAGGGGCAAACGGTATGTTTTTTTACCGGAAAGAAGGGATTGCGTAGTGCCAGGAATTTGTAGATTAGGTTGAAAATCCTAAGTTAATTTCTAAAATGGCAAGGCCGTTATGCATTACAATCGTAATCGCTATATATATACGCGTTATATTGTAAATATATACGTAATACCAGATATTTAGCCGAGGATTTCATATTTTGTGCTTTGCCAAGTATTTGTTTTCAATTTATTTTAATTCTCTTGATTCCCAGCCATAAAACTTGTAACAATAACATTGTAGTGTTCAGTCGGGAGCATCACGGGCCACGGCTATTATATATAGACAATAACAATAACATTGTTAGGTTTATCAAATATAAAAATAAAACTCCTACTCTGCACAATGACAACTAGGATGACGGGATCAACGACACCGCGTGATCTTCCGGTTAGGGATCGTTCGCATATTACATAGCCGTAGCGGGAATGCCAATGGGATTTTAAAAGCTTACGGCGCGACTACAAATTCTGAGCTTCGTCCGGTGCCGAGCTCCTTCACGGCCCAGCTAGGAGCAAAGAGGGGACACGCGTTTCAGGCCAGGCAACGCGTCTGCCGTCTGACAAGGAAATCTATTTTAAATTAGCTTACGGGGGAGCCGGGAGACGGTCTGAAATGATACAACACTGGCTATGTTATTGTTAAATGCGAAAGATTCCTTACTTGTTAGTGATCTACAACGCCACAAATACTGATAGCACGTACACACTGATAAGTGTTTACAGTTCATTCTACTCTGCACGTACAAATGTATCAAAGCTAAAGTCAAAAGTATTTGTTCACGTAACGAAGTTATAATTTATAAATGGTATTCATGATTCAGGTTTCGCAACGGTATTTTTTAGGACCTCTGTATCCTTATTTAAACGTCAGTGCCCTCCTATAGTCCTAGGTCATACTAGTGAAAATGTCATTACAAAAGAATGCAGTATGCACCTTAAATTTTAGAAACGGATCATGAGCTGGACTTCTGTGTTTATTACATTACTAATTCTAATGGTGATAAGTTGTTTTGTTTACTTTTGTCTTGATGAAAGCCTGAATCTGTACTTTGTAATCTGTATGCGTCATAATCATGTTGTTGTTATGATCTCATTGCCCGAAGTTGTCGGTTGCCTGGGCTACAAAACTAAAACCCGTGACTCCTCGATCCTGGCAGTCGAATGTTGCCGCGCAGCTAGCGGCATGATCACGGCCCTGCCATAAATCGAACGATTTTATTCTGAAAATAACGGTGTTTTATCAATCTGTATTTTTACTGATGACTTCGCAGACTGACAATTCCAATTTTACATCAACTACCAAATAACGGGGTATCGACCTCAAATTGGTGTTCCTTGCCGTGACCATTAATTGGCTTATAGCTCTGTTATCATCAGTTCAGTGCTCTAACATATTTCTGTTGTTATTCATGGCTTTTAAATGCTTTTATTTCTTTATAGTGGCCCGTGATTTTTTACTTATTACTCATTTTTCATAACATCTGTAAAAGTGTAAACACTTATCGAGGGGCGAGTACAATTTCTGAAACACGATTTAATGGTTACGGTTGAGACTACCTTGTCGGACCCTATTTGAACGGACATTAATTGAACGCTGGAGGTCCTATCGTTCATCTTAATGTCCGTTCAAATAAAGTCCATCCGTTTAAGGTCCGTCCAAGTTAAACTTAATAAGTCAGTTGAATTTTTTCCAAAATTATTCCACTGCGATCATGTCTACTGTCGACTAGGATATGACAACTTTTTAATTTCAGTCAATTTTAATTTCTATCATCGGACTAAACATGAGACTATATCATTGGATAACCCATTTGACGAAGATGACCTGTGATCTACACAACTTTCATTATAATCATAGACACTAACCGGAACCCTCCTCACGTCCGTAAATGGACTTTTGATCTTTGTATCATATATGACAGATATATTTTGACATTTTTACTGCTTAACGACTGCTTTACTTGCTTATTGTACCTATGAAAAATTGATTAACAAATTATCTGCTAAAATTTAAAAAACGCCAAAAAAGATGAACAAATCTGGATTTTGATAGTTTTGAATGCCTTCTAGCGTTCATTTTAATGTCCGTTCATAATTATGTCCGTTAATTTAATGTCCGGTCAAATAAGGTCTGATAAGTTAAAAGTGTTATGGTATCCACTCAATTCTATTATGTTTATTGTACGCAGGAATTGCTAATAACAAACACGACTCTATGAACAACTATAGCAGACGAAGCAACTTTATGGTGTTGTCTCATCACAACAGATTTACCTAAACTTAAAGGTACCGAAAATACCTAGATGAAGCTTTCGATATATTGTTTCGATTGCTAACCATCAATCTTAGTCTTAGCCCACAAGAAGCCAAAAGTATATTGTTCGGTGCATGTGTTTCTAGGAAACACGCCGATAATAACCTGGCGTGGTCTTATCACATAGCATTGATCCTTAAGTGATCGTTTAAACAACGTAGGAATTTAATTCAGGCGAAATGTTTTTGTTCGATACTCTACCACGTACATTGACTTAAAATTTAGGCGAAAATAGATTTTTGGCAGTCTCCTTTATGCGTGAAAATATTTCAATTTGGTCTTGCCAAATTAGGTTTAAGTCGTGAAATCACGCCTAAAACGTATTGTATTTTGATCTAAAAGTAAAAGATGAACACGATACTGTTAGTAATAGTATTCCTTTTATCGTTTATTATAGTACAAATTTATGAAATAGTGTGCAAACTTGTTTGTGTCAATGTCATTAGCTTATCAATATCAGCCTTAATGCTTAATATTCTGCTGGACTTTATAATTTCGTCGCAGTGGTGCTCGTGCAATTACAATTAGATAAACAATTTTGATGATGATGCCGAGTCAGTAACCGTATAAACTTCAAATAAGATTTGAAAATTCGCGTGGCTCATTAACCAAGTAATTCAAACATTTTATTTTAAAAGTGCCGCCCAAATTCCCCGTGCCGTGGTACAATTTTTCCGGACTTTAGGTATAATGACGTCAACCAGCTCTGGCCGGCCGCCATTTCTTGAAAACCCCTCCCGGCCTCCCTTACCCTAGCTCCTTCGAGAGATGACGTCATTCTTAATAAGGCTCCTCGAGATAGGTAGCTGTATATTACATCATGATTTATGCAATAATTTATTATGCACAAAGTTAGTTTATTTAGCACGCCATTCCCTCTGCGCGGAGCTCTTTCCACTTCTATTCCTGCATATCCGTACGAGAATCGAGCAATAGACTAAAAATTATAGGTAAAGTAAGTTATTTTTATATTTGACATATCTTATATCTTTAGTAACTTTTTACCAAAACACAAAAATTGGAAAAGTGGACTGTTCTTAATATCAATATCGTCTCACTTCTTTCAAAAAATAAAAGATTAAGAATTATATTAGCTTGGATTAGCGTTTACATATAATGTATAACATCGAGGATAAAATCAATCTTTCGCTTTTGCCATTAAATCACGGCCTTCAAAATTTAATGACTTAGTCTTAACTATCGAAAGTTAATTTAACCTGCAATTCTGAAAGAATAAGAAAATGTATCATGCATCTATTTATTACTCTTGAAATGGCCATGGGTAATCCAGTAATTTCCTTTTTTGATGCTTCTTAAAATTAAAGCTGAAACCTTTCTTTGCCTAATTTTCCCAAAAAATTCGTTGATTTTTTTTACAGAAGTACTCTTTTTTATCTTGTCCCAATATGTACAGAAACTTCTTGCTTTAGCTTATTACTAAAAATATTTCATCGCTTGAACCCCTTTTCTGTTATTATTCGAGACCTAAGTCATGAATGTTGACGGAGTACGTTTTTGGCTAAATTTTTGGCGTAATATTTGACTCTATTGTTATGATAAGTTGTAGATCTTCATACAAAGTTACGAGGAATTCTTCATGTCATGCAATATGCATCCTGGCCATGATTCCTGGGTTTGGACAGGATATGACCCGTTTAAAATTTTTCCATCACGTTACATTGTCATTACATAATTCCCAATAAATGTAATAGATTTGTAGTGTTGTAATTAGTTTAAAACGAATAATTTCAAATATCTAGGAGAGTCGTCGATTTTATGCCAGAAAATGCTTAAGAAGTAAGAACGTGGCAATTTTTGTACAATAATATTTAATAAGGTTTTTCTGGTTGTATACTTTAGGCAAATAAGGAACTCGCTTTTAACAAATCGCTTTTATTGGGATTCGACCATACCCCGTATTTTAAAACATGGTTTGGCACATCCGATAAATGTTTTCCTGTTATTTTTAACATTAAATTAAAGTATTCCAGACTGTAAATGATCCTTTTAAATTATTTATTGTGCATTGGCTATTACAGTTAACGGTTTATATTATTGAATTTTTATTGACTACCGTGGTGTTGAGAGTCTATTCTTATGTAACTGTTTTTAAACACTTTTTATCATAATATTCTCAGACCCAAATAAGTAATCAATGGGAAGGCTCATCAAACAGTCAATTGTCAATTGTGACTTCGAGGAGAAATACAAGTGGATATTCTGGGAACACAAACTTTTCCAAGCTCCATGGATGATAGCTAAACTTGTGGCTGGACTGATTTACAACTTCGTTATCTACCTCTTTATTCTCAAAGAGCCAACCGATGACGATATAGTCGACTACCTGGAAAACACAACGATGGCGTTGTTGGTTAATTCGGGAAGTAATAGGAGCACGTTTGAAGTTGAAGACTGCCAGCTTAAGTCCTGTTTATCGTCGGCAACGGTGAAGGGTATAAAGATGTTGTTCAAGAAGGATGCCAGAGGAAGAGCTACAATAGAGGCATTCCATTTGAATGGGGAGAAGATAGCAAACAGATGTCTGATGATGGAAGCCATCTTCTTCTACCACACGGCGAGTGCACATCCTAAATTTCACCTTTATTCGAACAGTCTGACTAAGTACATTGTTGATAACAATATTTCAGCCTTACTACCATCAACCAAGACGTCACTTCCTCTTCACAACGCACTCACAAGAAGTCCAACAAGTCCCGTTACCGATATGAGGACGCGAACAGATTTTGGCTACTGCCGTTGTGGTTTATTTATATTTTATATTTTAGATTTTAGAGCTTTTAATCAGTCTCAATTTATGGTTACTTGAACACAATTGATAGAGTCGTATAATAAGCCTTCAAATATAATAATACTTCCATTACTTCATTAAATAGATACCTTCGGAGATAAGGTTCATATATTGAGAGTCTTTTTATATTTCCGATTTGAATTGAACTTGTAGCTTATTTGAGAGCTACGTCGAATTGTAACTTGTTGCTATCGCAACTAAAATTCAGATATAGTCGGGCAGTGTCGTTACCGTTAGGACGCATCGAAACACGGCTTCTAGATCGCCGATGCGTGGCCTCGTTAATGCTCAATTGAAACTAATCAACACGGAACTATGTACCCTATATCATTTGAAGGTCCGTATATTTTGAAAGTTTTTCCGGACTAATGACCAACACCCTGGATCATTTGAGTAGACCCGTTATCGGTGTTTTATATTTTGAAAGTTTCACTGGACTAATGACCAAAGTCACTGTAGCTGTGCCTTCTAAGAGTTTTACGGGTTAATTCAATTAACTGTTTCAATCCGTAAAATAAATTTGACTTGAAGGTATACTAAAACTTTGAGTTCTCAAGAGAAATGGATTCGACAAATTCAGCCAAATGAACGGAACTTTAGCAAAGAACCACCTATAATTAAAGAGTCTTGTTGGTCCGAGAGGCCAACACGATCCCCTTTTTCATAGAGTTTTTAATTTGATCATTTCACCGATTAGCCGATTCGCCAACCGAGGGCTTACTCGTACTATTCTAATGAAATATTTCTTTTTCTTTTTCGTCTTCTTCTTTTCTTCTATTAAATTTTCCTTGACATCCTTAAATTTTAAGACTCTGAATTTTAGAACCTAGGTCTCCTAATTATAATCATCATCTAACACCAAAGTTTTCCTCTCCTTGAAATAGGAGAATATTTACTATAATTTAGCCATTAGGGCTGATCAACATTTCTTAAAACTGTTAACATATATTAATACCTAATTCGCCATTAGGGCCGCTCACCACTATTACAAGTAGTATCTTTCTTTTCTTTTCTTTTCCTTCCTTTCCTTTCCTTTTCTTTGGTCTTCTTTCTTCGACGACAACGGGGGTCAGGTTACGCCCTGATTGCGATGCTTTTAAAGTCGGGTTACGTCCCGGTAACGAATTGCTACAATTATAATTCTTTCCATTCCCTCTTCTTTCTTCTTTCTTCTTCTTCTCAACGGGGGTTACGTCCCGATACGAAACAGATTCGGGTTACGTCCCGATAACGATGCGTCTACGGTCTTCGTAGGAAATGTTCCTGTGCAGAGAGGGGATACGGTTGCGATCCAGAATCTCAATAGACCGGCTAAACGAGAAGATCTACTAGCTTGTAATTTTCTATTCAAGAACTATTTAAGAACCTATGAAATAACTTGACCATAACCCCTGGATGGGCCATTTTGGTCAGTAGACTTCAACAAACTTAAAAGGCTCTGAAATGGTACTAAATTAATAGTCCTTTGACAAACTACTTTCAATTTATCGGATATTTAACTTATTTGCCTTTTAACTTATTCTTACTTATTTATAATTAATTTCTTACTTAACTTAATAAATGTTTAACTTATTGAAGTCTTATAATAATTTTCACAATTTAAACTGTATACATATATTTATTATTTAGGATCTCAGTTGGGCTGAGGTCGATCCTTTACTTATCTAACTTCCTCATCTTTAAACCTGCCCGTTTTCAGTTTTATATTTTAAGTTTCAAATTTTTCAATATTTACATTTTTCATCATTCTTTATCTAAATGCAGATTCACGCATAGTTATGCGATGAACTCATTTACCGTATTGCTTATCTTCGTATTTCATCATTTTACTGATTTCTTTTATTTTCTCTTCTGTCATTGTAATAGACAACCAGGTTCCATAAGCTTTACAGTATTGGTACTTTAAATAATAATCGAATTTGCATTCCATCTTAATAATTGATTTTTCGATTCTTGACAATTTCGTCCATGACTCGTGTTTATACTTTCCCCAACGTTCTAGGATAACCCAGTCCGATTCATTTGGGAATAATGACTTGTATTTTTCAAATGTTAGACATCTAGTTCTGACAAAACGAGCATAACATTTCTTTTGTCCTAATACTGCTGCATTATACGCTCCTCTCATGGTTAGGAGTTTTATCGCGAATTTTCCAATATTCGTTTGTATCCTGGTCCAATACATCTCGTTCTCCATTAGAATGTCCAAGAGATAATATGTTTCATAATTATAGAAGCTGAAGAGATCTGGATATCCACTTGTTGTGTCTCGCAAATATTGTGAGACGATTTTCCCCATCCTTTTGCAAATTAACCTGGCTTTGAGTAAATCACGTAGATTCAGCCTTGTCAAAATAATATGCCATAGTTCAATAGGTAGATTACAGTTGGAAACTGATTTGACTTCTTTAATGGATAGACTTTGAATTTCTTCTGTTTTTGAAGGTATCTCTTCTGATGTATTTTCCATTTGCTTTGCTGATCGATATGTGGTTAGAAAACTTTAATTAAAGTGATAATGGAAATGACGAAAGAGCCTGTTTCTATAATTTTGAACCCGTTGGTGAGTTGTGATATTACGTTTGACATATTACGTTTGATTTACATTTTACATTTTACATTTTTCCTTTTTACGGTTTGATTACCCTATTAGAACTTCAATCTGGGGTCTATATTTTATAGCTTGAAGAAGATTGAAGTTTTTATTCTCTTCGGTTTTCAGCATTTTGCCTATTCTTTGGATCTTTTCCCGATTCGTAGTTATCGGTAGAGACGTACCATATTTATTCATATATAGTTTCGTTAAGAAAGTTTGGAACTTGCATTCCATTTTAATGCATGATTTTTCCAATGGGGAAATATCCGCCCAAGAATTCTTCTTATATTCCTTCCATCTTATGATCACTTCGTCGTCAGACGCTTTAGGAGTGAAGCTTCTTAGCCGGTCCTTGAAAGTATACAATGGTAGACACCGTGTTCTTAAAAACCTCAAGTATGGTTTTTCCACTTTATTGATGGCGCTGCAGTACACCCCTTTCATGATCATGTATTTCATGGCGAACTTTCCAATTTTAGTTTTCATATTCGTCCAACACATTTGATCTTCTATAAGTATTTCCGTTAAATAGAACGTTTCGTAACTATAAAATTTAAAATTTTCCATTATTACATTGGTAGGGTTCCGCAAGTAATCCTTCACCAAACTACTGAATCGTTTATTTAATTCTCGTACTTTCAGTAATTGCTTGATGGTGAGGTAATTAAATATCATCACCCATATTTCTATTGGTATTTCTGTTTCTCGTTTCGTCTCTTCTTTGTGTAGTTGTTCCACATTATCATCGTTAGAAGCGTCATGCTCGATGTTCAATTCCTCCAGTTCCTCGTGTATATCCGAAGCACTATTTGAGTCTATTGTATTCTTTGATTCACTTTCCCAGTCGCTGACATCTTGAACACTATCATTTACATTTTCGTAATGTAAATTTACAGCTTTCTTTACCTCTTTTTCTGACACCTTTCCACAATTTATATTTTCGCAATTTAGGTTCCAGTTCAAGTTTAAATTTGATTCTTCTACTTCGTCTAGTCATAAGACTCTGTTTTTCACATCGTCCACTGAATACACCTTAGTTGTACTAGGCGCTCTTTGTCGCAGTCCTTCGCTATATTCACCACTGAAATTAGTTTCATCTACTCCAGATTCTTCATCTTTTCCGCTTTCTAAAAGTTCGTCTTTATTTTGTTCTTCTAATTCTATGTCCTTTTCTACTTTCCTTGTCCTGAACCGTTTTTTCCAATAGCTGTATAGAAGGAAGATTCCCACTATAATGCTAATCATTACTGTTAAAATTCCTATAAAATTCACAAGAGTTAGATCCTTCGTCAGATTTAGTCCGATTCTT